ATACAGAAATGAGGAAGTAGTACTATTATTAAGCAAAAAAGCATTTAAAAACAGTTGAAAGTTCAATAGCCAGGGAATAGTTTGAAGACAAAACTGGTTTTAACCGGACATCAGAGAAACTAGAAAACCTTACAGTAACACTGCAGACATGGTATTTAAACATATGAATACAGGGACCAGCAGTTAGCATAATGGCTATGTCTCTGGACTCCCATGTAGTTGACCACGATTTGAGTCCCGGACCCAGTGGCTTAAACTCATGGGGCGTGCGTGTGCGTGCGTGCCCAAGATCCCAAGAGGAGAATGGAGGAGAAGGGACTGTGGTGTGGCCATCCCCCCCAGGGGTGATTTCTGGCTGTCTTTCTGTCTCTGTCTCTCTCTCTGTCTGGTGAGCGCACGTGCCCTGAAAAAAAAAAAAAAAAAAAAAAAAACTCTCCAAAATAAAAACCAAACATATGAATACAAAGCCACATTAAAATCAAGCTAGTATCCAAAGAAATTAGGGAAGATCAGACATCCTTTTAGGAAAAGGTGATGTGTAAAGTGGAAGAATATAGCAATACAAAGAATAAAATAACTGATAACCTTAATAGTATCAAAAGCACTTGGTCGTTCTGTGACCACTTGAAAATATATTCTACAGGAAGCAAATATAATTTCTAGTAGTAAGATATCTCAATGGCACCAAATGCTATTACAAAAAAATTTTTCTTTACAATAGACAACTAAAAAGACAAGTAAGAAAATATCCCACTGACGAATGAGAGATTTAATAAAACAATAGTCTCGCAATTATCCAAGAAAAGATATTCCTCAAAAGCACATTTTAATGGTTTATGAAACTTGTTTTATCTGGAAAACCCACAAAAAGATTTTGCTCAATACAGTAACCATTATCAGTTTACTGATAACTTCCATTTATATATTCTCTTAAACATAAAGTGAAGAACTGATTGGTATATCCACCAAATTGAAATTATATAGAATGAATCTGGCCAACTGAATGATATGCATAAAGTGCACATATGTCAGACAACCAATTATTAAACTATTTATTAACATTAAGTACATAATGAAAAATTTCAAAAGACAAAGGAACCTAAACAGTTCAAGTCAGGGACAAAGTAGGCCTTACATTAAAAAAAAAAAAAAAAAGTTTTCATTTATTGCAATCTTTAAACTATTCCTGCAAAAATCTAATCTATAACTTGAAAGAGTCAACGTTAATTGTATTTTCAAGAATAAATGTTTCACTGAAGTCTATTTTCACCCACATCAGTATCTAGTTTTACAAATAGAAGGGATTCTGGCATGTGTATTTTCAACTTCCTTGTTTACAGTACCTGAGAGGTTATCCTGGGTGTATCAGGCCCTTAAGGACATTATCAATCAGGTCACTTAGGTATCGTTCAGGAAATTATTAATATAGTACTAACCCAGGGTACAAAATAGTATCCAAATAGCCTGAAAATGTTTACAACCACCTCAAAATACTATTTTGAGGTTTCAGTAAATAAACAGAATTATACTGATAAGGAAGTCGCCACACAAGGAAAAAAAGTTTAATGTACTTAAACTGAAAAAGCAGCTATCACACAATCTTTAAAAAAGTAAAAGAAAGTGTCAGCAAAATTATTTTTTAATTGTCCTTACTTCTTTTAACCAGGTAAATACATACACTTATCAAATTATGCTACCAAAGCTAAGCAAAATGTTAGATATGAGATAAATGACTCAATCAGAAATCCAGAGCATACTGATAGAAAACAAAGCTACCTTAATAACTAGAAAACTGGGCCAGTCACTAACAACTAAAAGAACCACTGTGAAGTTAACTAAATAAAGGGGAGGGAGGTATACTCTACGACCTTCTGAAATGAATCAACAGTGCCATAAAGAAAAATTAACATTCAGAAGGAAAGTACATTTAGATAGTGCAAGTGTACAGATGAAGATAATAAACTATGAGAATAAATCACTGTACAGAATTCACATAAATACCAGCCATATACGCAAGACATCAAAAATTAAGTTTTAAACAAAAATGTGAAATTTAAAAAGGCACTTCAAATAACAATTAATGGAAACAATATTTCTCTATAAACAGGAACTACAAAAAAGATACCTTCTTCATATACATTTTATGTCTAGTCAAGAAATAACATTTTAAAGGAAAAAGGATTATAAGACATATCCTTTTTTGAGAATACCAAATCATTAAACCTAAAACTATCCCAAGGCCTTCTAGAAAACCTGGAGGTATTTAAACTGCAGAGATTGGCCTAATAGTAAATTTTATCACAGGCTCTGCACATGACAGGTACAATGTGAGTATTACCTAATTATGAGTTCTATACTTTACTGGGCTTATCTATTGAAATTGTCTCCCGAGACTAAGTTTCCACTTTTAGTTTTAAAACATCATCATTCAAGTATACCATAGAGTTTAAAATAAAAAAAGAGAAAAAGGATATTTCTTCTGCAGTCAAGAAATTAATCTACAAAGACTGTTACTGGACCGGCATTAACACAATATTCTGCAATGCCAGACCCACACAGGAAGGTCCAAGTTCATATCCTGAGGCTTCCTTGTACATGCCAGGGTTTGCACAACTTCCTGTGATCCTGGCTGGTGGTGGACTGCGGCCTGAAGACCCATCAGGGTGCCTCTCTCTCTCTCTCTCTCACAGAAGAAAGAAAATAAATAAAAAAAATTCCCATTACTTTTTTATTTTCAGAAATACTGAATTCTGTGGAGACTTTTAAGTATATCTATGTGGTCAAGCAATTTTACTTTTACTTTATTAGTGAGCAACATAAATATTACCAAGAGGAAAAAAGAATAGCAATATTCTTACAAATATTTTAGAAAGGAGCAGCACAATAATGTAAACACAGTTAACACCATTGGACTGTATGTACACTTAAAAATAGGTAAGGTGCAAAGTGTTGTGTGTGTTTTCAGCACAATTTACTGTTGTAAATCGAAATGCCAAAAAATTTCAGATAATCGTTATCTTCAAGCATCATTTATACTGGTTTAGTTATTGGAACATAATGGTATTTTAAAAGTCACCAAATTTGTGATACTGCATCTAATTCAGGGGAGGAAAATGTAAAAGAAAGAATTTGAAAGAGCCCAACTAGTCAAACACACTTATATCCAGCCACATCAAACAGTTCTGAGGTCTCTCTCCAGTGATTTCCCTAGAAGCTGGCATTTCACAGAAGAGAATTACAGTGATAATATCTAGGGAACTTGCTACTGGTGCAGTATATATTAATATTATGACCGACAAAAATCTACGTGTAATTAATTTCTTAGGTCTATGCTTCTTTTTAAGTAAAGCAATATTCTTCTAGAGTTCAATTTGAAAATCAGTTTGTAAAGCACTATCATGGACCTAAAGACATGGAAGTAAAATTTTAAAATATAGGAAAATAAGGTAAGTATTAACTTCGAGATATGATGTGGCTCAAGCTGTAAATTGATCTCCTTTATCAAAACTAGTCAGACTTGGTAGTGTTACAACTCTTTGAGAATTTGCCTAGCAGGTTTTCAGGGTTTTCCTGGAAAGCCTCTTTAAAAAAAAAAAAAAAAAAAAATACTAGCCAGGCTTGGGACCAGTAGATGGCATAACGGTTACATCCTAGACTCCTACATAGTTGACTACAGTACAAGTCCCAGACCCAGCGCCTTAAAACTCATGGCAGAACGTGTGCGTATGTGTCCAAAATCCCAAGAAGAGAATGAAGAAGGGACTGGGCATCTCCATCTCCCCTGGAGGATGACTTTTTGCTTTCTGTCTCTCCGGCAAACGTATGCACCCTATAGCAAAAATCTCTCTTAAAAAAAAAAAAAAAAAAAAGACTAGTTAGGCTTAATCTACAAATATGACAAATAGAATCAAAACAGTGCACTGAAATAATGTGACAAAACAAAGTATCTTCTACCAATTAAAGAAATTCAACTTCTATAATACAAGTAAAAAGAAAAGCAGATTTGTTAAAGGGTGCTGAATATGGTTATAAAGGGGAGGGGGAGTGAGCTTCCAAAAAACTATTAATAAGGGAGATCCTTGGGAAAATGTCAATCACTACTGCAAGAACTACAGCAGGAAGAAACGGAAACCATGTAAACCCTAACACTCTATACTCTACTAATAGTATACGCCAACACCCTGGTCAAGCAGACGAAGAAAGAAAGATAACTTGACAAACCAAGAAGTTATAGTTTGTGAATAAATTTTTTTTCCACTGCCAACTAAGTTACACCAAGTAACATATTTAATCTCCTCAAACTTGGAATTTTCCTCCATTCCTAAAGTCATGCTTTGAAGTCAAGGATTTAAGGACTGATATATACCATACAGCCACTGCCTTGAGATTGAGAAGATACTGTAGGACGTAAAACTGAGGTATCTGCTGTCAGTTTCAGTATGGTGGAAAACTATTATTGGGAATAATCAGAAGTAAAAAGATGTCACCTCTTAGGTTAAAAGTCTGACTATGAGAATTAACCAATTAACCAAAAAAAATCAATGAAGACTTGATGTCAGTCTCTCCAATAAATCATTAATGGATATCTCATCATTTAAACAGATATCCAAAAACAGAACTGTGGCTTATAATCTTCCCTACATCCACAGTTATGCTTATACAACAATCTAGATTGATAGCTTCCTCTTTATTACATAAAGAGGACCAGATTGTCAAGCATGTTTGGAATTCTTGCTCTTAAAGTTCAGATTTGCATCCCTGGATGGTGTGAATAACATCCTTTATTTCCAGGGTCCTGATGTGCATTATCTTCTCTGTACTTAAAGTGTGACATACTATCAAGCTCAAAAAATTTAATGGTTTTGAAGGTAAGTTTATTTAAGAAGGCCATTCTGGTCAAAGGCCCATACTATAGTGAGAAAACACCATGACACCTTGTAGATATGAGAGCTTGATAGGTCAAAGACTACCGGAATTGAAGAAAACAAAAGAATTCTCACATGTAGATTTATGAGTGGCGATGGTATGGTGGACATGTGAGTCTTGATGAAGATAGCTACTATGAAATGTTCTACAGAAATGATACAGGTAGAAAAGTCTTTTTCCAGATGGAGTCCATAGCAGACCTGTGGCATCTAGCCATTCCAACTGGAAGCGAAATGAATTCGGCAGAATTTGATTTGATTTCCAGCTGACACATAGCTTGCTAACTGATTGAAGTCTCACAGATCTTGATAGTAGTATGAACTCTTGGTAAGCTGATCATATTGACATAAGAGATTGTAACAAATTTGTCATTTTGTGAAGATCTGAAAGCTGAAACATGAATAAGGAAGCACTAATGACTTAAAAATGAGCGATTTACCTCTGGTCTTAGTAAACAGAGATCTAATATTTATTTCTACATCCAAAATCTGCTAGTCCTCAATTTAACAGTAAGATTTTCCTGAGGAACAAATCTATGTAGTTTGTTTTTTTTTTTTTAATTAATCACAAGAGGATTTGGATTCCTGAGTGTCTTCCACTGGACATATTTTGGACCAGAAATAATAGATAAACCTTTGTCCAACCCTCCTCACAGAAAGTCTCTACTGCTTACTTGGCCAATGAAGCATGAGTCCCTTTATTATATATTTCATCCCAAAAGTCCAACATTAGTTGTTATCATTCCAGATATGCATTAAGTTTTTGAGATGACTCCTACCTATAGATCCTGTTTGAGTGGAAAGGATCAAGTGTAAAAGGGTTAGAATCTTGAATGACTATTCCATCAAATATTAACAGGTTATTAATTCTTGTATCCATAGCGTTCTGGAGACTCTCCCTTTTTTCTGTATCTGTAGGGGTGATTTCGGGGTTTGTACCAATCTCCTTTAGAGTATCCTCTATTGTGGTAATGTGCTTTCTGATCATGAGTATAAAAGTATCGATGCTGGTTATAGTATTTACTGTGATCTTTATAATCATTTTCTTTTATACTGTTTTCTTCTGCAACAATAGCATTCACATCTTGTCCAAATAGGGAAGTACCATCAAATGGCAAGTGTGAGATCTTCTCCTGGGTTTTCTTAGGAAGAGATGTAAGTCGGAGCCAAGCCTGCCTTCTATAGTCTACTGCCATGGCCATAACTCTGACTACAGAGTCCATTATGTCCCTAGTAGTACAAAGCTGCCAAAGACCTGCATCCATACCATCAGATATTATACATCTTGCTTTTCCACGATCAAACTCGGGGTCATGAACCAGATCTTCCATGTCTTCCCACAGTTTACGCTGATACTGAGTCATATAGGCCATGTAGCTAGCAGCTCGTGCTGCAATGGAGGCAGCATGGTAGAATCTACAACCCATGACCTCCATTTCTTTTGAGGTAGAATCTAGGGGGGATGTTGTGTTTCCTCTTTTACTGTGTTCTAATGCTTCTACAATAGGGCCCTCAGCTGGTGGATTTGGTTGGAAAGGAGACGTGTCCTTGGCCACAGGATATACTCTGTGTCCCATGAAGGAAGAAGGATGGCAATCAGCAGGATCTTTAAAAACCTCAGTGGTGGCAATTCTCAGAAGAGGATGCAGTGGAGGAACCAAACGTTTTTTAGAAGTCACATAATCGGGTTTCCCCTCACAGGACTCTGCTTCAGACTGTAATGTTACCCTTTTTATAACACCTCTTTGTTCCATTCTTTTCAAAAGACCTGTGAAACTAGACTGGCTGGGGTCAGCTGGCTGACCTTTATCATCAGCTGATGGGGATTTGTAATCAGCTTCTTCTTCAACTGTGGATAAATTTTCCTCCTTAGAAGTAGAGATGTCCCAAGGAACTGAGTTTTCACTTGGCCTAGAATGATGAAATCTAAAACAGCTTCTGGACTGCAGATCACGAATCACTCGGGACATCTCAGCCACTTGTGTCTGGAGATAGAGGATGGCATCCTGTCCATGCTGTGAAGCTGAAGATGACTCTATAGGTGAATCCTCCTTGACCTCAGAAGAGGCCAAAGATTCTTGGGGAACCAGAAGTGCAGTTGAAGGCTGAGTCTGATAATTTTGTGATAGTTTAAGTGGCTCTGTCTCAGAGATCTTAATGTCTGAGTTATTTTTATCATTTTTCTGATTCTCCAATGTGCTCCCAACACAGGAAGGTTGAGAAACTATCCTTTGTGGACTGCTGGAGCAACTCCCAGAGGAGAAGCTGCTGTCTCCCATAGGAAGAGGAACATTGCAGCTAGAGCACATTTCTGGGCGATGATTCTCAGTGGATGGCACCTTAGATTCAGGCATTCTCTGGGTTATCCACATAAACAAGAAAACCAAGGAAGAAAAAAAATATGCTTTTAATATGTTAACTTTTAAGTGCAGAGATGCATGTCCAGTAAGTAGAACCCAATTTTCAAATTATTATAATTAATGAACGATGCAATCCACTAAGGGCCACACAGGTATCAAAGAAGTCAAATCCACAAGCTTCACTACCCCAAAGACCCAATATCACATACTGCTATTAACCTGGAAGTCTGTCCACAAGAAAAAGAGTAAAAACAAGTTCAATTCAAGTGGTAATACCTGGCTTGCTGCTTGGTACCATGATAAGAGGTGGAGAGACTACTGGTAATTAATAATAAAAAGAAAAATCCCATTCAACACATTTGTAAGTCAACAAGTAAATGATGGCAGGAAAAACTTGAGAAGAGTTCCACTTTTGAAAGAAAGTTAAAATCTCTAAAACTCACCCATTGGAGTCATTTTTAAGCCCCTTCTTTAAAATTCTGTTATTCCATCTCCAGAAATAACAAAACTCCAACTGTATAGCCCTATTTTATGGTTTAAAAAGTTTTCAAAGAGCAAACATATTTGTTACCTCATTTCATCCTCACAACAACCCTGTGAGGTAGGTCTTATACTATTTAAATAAAAAAACCTGAAGTTAAAAGATTACTTAATTGGGCCAGCAGGTGGCATGGTGGTTAAGGCACTGAACACTCCCACATGGCCAACCACAGTTTGATTCCTGGACCTGGTGGCTTGCTTTCTCACTTTCCTTCTCTCTGTGTGTCTTTCTCTGGTCAAATGAAAATCAATGAATGAATAAATAAAAGTAAATAAATAATTCTTTAAAAAATATTACTTAATTTATCTAAAGTCACAGAATGAGTAAGGAGTAAAACTGGGGACTCAAGCCCAGAAATTTGTATTCCAAGTCTAAGCCTCAATTCCCTTTATCACAGAGCAAGAACCTTTATGGCCACCATAAATAAGAGCCAGTTCTCTAATCCATCAAGAAAACAACACACTGACAGAAATGTGGGCTACAGCAAAGACAAAAGGCAAGTTTGCTACAAAAAGCTTAGCTATTTAATTTCAGAGTAAGGAAAATATTGGTATAAGGGTCAAACCCATTACCAGTAGTGACAGGTAAGATTAGTAACTTTAAATATATGAGGGAAAGAAAAAGTTAAAAGGCATGACAAGTGAGATAATGTATCATCTATAAATCCCTTTCCACATTCCATTTCCTAAAGAATTTCTACATATCCTTTCTTCCAAGATGAAACAAGCTTTCTGTGGCCAAGTGGTTCTGAAAGAAAAAGATCCAGATCTATAGGGCACCTGATAAGAGTATAGGAAAGGAGAAGAAGAGAAGCCAAAATCTTGCAGTTTTTATTCCATTTCCTATTCATCAGAGTATCACCTCCAAGACCTGAACACCCCAGAGTCATGCTATCTTTCCACATCCTCACTAAACGCAGAGGAAGAAAACCAAGATGTGGGCGAAAGAGTCCTTTGACTACCTATTAGGGTACATTCCAACAGAAATGGGCAGATCTCTAAAACTCCTATATACAGCTCCTAAACATAGCCACCATTGATTTGATAACCCTCTTTAAAGATTTCCTCTTAAATGAACACAAATGGAGAAATGCACATCACAATTAATGTACTTACATCACTATGAGAAGTGCTAGGTTCTTCATCATCACTGCTGATCAGATCAATGTATTCAAGAACAGGTCTCAATGGTCCTTCCTAGAAAATAATTGAGAAAATTATAAACCAGGAACTGTTATTCAAACCAATCTAGCATGTATGTATTGTTGGGATTGGCAAGAAGGTTTCTGAAAAGGAAGCCTATGAGTGAGTGGTTTAAAAACAAACAAACAAAAAAGAATAAAAGCAGAGGAACACAAATAAGAAACGATAAGACAGAGGCTGGCAGGTGGCGTGATGGTTAAGGATGCTGGACTCCCACATGGCTGATCGCGGTTCAAGTTCTGGACCTGGCGACTTGCTTTATCACTTTCTTTCCCTCCCTCCCTCTCTTTCTCTTTCTGGTCAAATTTTAAAGTAAGTAAATAAAGTTAAATAAAATAATTCTTTAAAAAAAAAAAAAAAAAAAAAGAACCTGCAGGGCCAGCCAAGTGATTTGGTAGGTAACTCAGCTTCATCCCACATGGCTAAGAGCATGGTTTAAGTCCTAGACTCAGTGGCTTGGAAAAATAAGCCAGGCACATGTGACTGCATGCCCACAATTCCAAGAGAATGGAGAAGGGTCTGTGGAGTTACCATTCCCCCAGATGATTTCTTCCCTTCCTCACTCCCTTTCCAGTGAACGTATGTACCCTATACCTAAAACTAAGAAGTCGAAATGGGCCACCTGGTGATGTGGTAGTTGGGGCAGCGAGATCCCACATTGCAAAATGCATAGTTCAAGCACCAAAGTCAGCAGCTAAAAAAAAAAAAAAATCCAGGTCTAGGCTTGTGTGAGCATTCCCAAAATCCTGAAAGGAGGAAAAAAAGGAAACAGTAGAGATCACAGCATGACCATTCCCCATGGGGGTTGCTTTTGCTCTATCTCTGTCTCTTTTGGGAGAGCACACGTATACTCTGGCAAAATTTTAAAAAATATTTTGAAAGGACCAGCAGGTGGTGTAGCAGTTCTGTCACTAGACTCCTACATGGCCAACTACATTTCAGGTCCCAGAGTGGCTTAAAACTCACACTGGACACGTGTGCGTGTGTGCCCAAGATCCAGGGAAGACAATGGAGAAGGGATTACAGAGTGGCCATCCCCTCTTGGGATTAATTTCTCACTTTCCCACTTTCTCTCTCTAGTTAATGCAAGAGTGCTATCACAAAAACCTAAAATAAGTGGTCAGCAGGTCGTGTAGTTGTTGAGGCGCTATACTCCTATATGGCCAAGCTCGGTTCAAGTCCCAGACCTGGGAACTTACTTTCTCACTCTCTCTCTCTGGAGAGTGCACGTGCCTTGTAACAAATTAAAAAATAATGATCATGGGGCCAGCAAGTGGTGTGGTGGTTAAGGGCAATAGACTCACATTGCTGACCATGGTTCCAGTCCTGGACCTAATGGCTTGCTTTCTTGCTTTCTCTCTCTCTCTCATTCACTGTCCCTCTCTGGTCAAATATAAATAAATAAATAAATAAAAGTTAAATAATTCTTTTAAAAAATAATGATGATAAATAAAATTTAAAAATCGTAAAAAATGAAAACCCTAGGGGTCAGCAGGTGGTGTGGTAGTTAAAGCACTTGACTCAAACATGGCTGATCACGATTCATGTCTTGGGCGTGGAGACTTGCTTTCTCATTTGCCTTTCTTTCTGGTCAAATTAAAAATAATAATAACAACAAATTAAATTAAATTAAAATTTGTTGTTTTTAAAATAACTAAAATAGGGGCCTGGCAGGTGGTGTAGTGGTTAAGGATGCTGAATTCCTACATGGCCGACTGAGGTCCGAGTCCCAGACTTGACAGTCTG